GGGGGTGGGGGGGGGGGTGGGGGTGGCGGTGGCGGTGTGGCGGTGTGGCGGTGTGGCGGTGTGGCGGTGTGGCGGTGGCGGTGGCGGTGGCGGTGGTGCTGGTGGTGGCGGCGGCGGTGGCGGTGGCGGTGGCGGTGGTGGTGGTGGTGCCACTGTTGCCGGCGCTGTTGCTGTTGATGTGGTGGCTGCAGGTGGAAGTGCTTGGCTAACGTTTCATTAGGAGCCATTCTAATAACCAGGCTCTGCTCGGCTCCACACTTTCTATATTGATGACCCTCTCCTCATGAGACCAGAGTTTGGAAAGACTACCCAAAACCCCAAACCTCCAATCACCCACAAATCCTGCACAGCAGGATCACTCTGCCAAGATCTGGGAGCTCCACAGCCACGAGTGCCGTGGCACGCTGGCAGGTTGGGACATTCGCCCGATGTAGACTTGGGGGGGCTGTCCTTGGAAGCCTTCGGTGTAGAACCCGTCATACCTATAATAAGCACCAAACAGGACTGCTCTAGTTGTGAAGGCCCCGATATTCGTGCACAGTGCAACCAGTGGATGGCCGACGTCTGCAACATGGACACAGTTTCATGCTGTCTATAGGGTCACTCTCCACGCCGACCCACTTGTTCGATCTCTACGTGCATCTGTTCGTCACCTGGGATCATTCCCTGAGGAATGCTCGAGTGATTCGCACAGATTCGTATGGATCTTCAGGGACTTCCGAGCGTTCACACCTTTGCTTTGGCTTCTCCAGGACCAACCAGAAAGGTAAGTTTCACTCAAAAGCCATCCCATAGATTTAGGTCCCATGCATACACCTAACCGGCTGCAGGTCTTCATGAAGGAGCTGTCCGCTGCGCAGTCATAGACTGGAAGGACAGAGATCAGCGAAGCACAGCGAGAAGCTGCGAACATGCACCACAGGGGCCAGCACAAAAATTGCCAAGACGATTCCGTGGAGTTTTTTAACATATACTATAATATATCCCCAAACCCCATTCTAACTCCTCAGTCTACTCTATAAAAAGGCGAGTTTGGCCTTCAGGAAAGGAAGTAGACAGCATGCTCAGGGTTGCGTTTCAGACAGCCCTTCTGATATTCCTTTTGGTTGGCTGTCCAGGAGCTGACGGGGATCACTGGTGCAGATGATGGCTGCGGCCTTATCTCATCATTCGGGAGCTTGGATTGCGGAGTCTACAAGACGTTTCATGTCAGTGGCCCCACCCGAAAGCTGCCTTGATAGCTTTGCGTCAACTGCGCGACATCTCAGCTCCCCAGTGAAGTGCGCTGGGATTGCACATGCTTGCACCTCGAATCGAACCCTCCATAGCTCCGGTCAAAGCTGCAGCATTGACAAGGCACCATGGTCCTGTGGAACCTGGACCGGTATGAGTGCAAGGAGCAATGGCTTTCTGGGAAGTTCGGCCGCCATCTCAGATTACAGTCATGAAGCTCACTGCAGAGCTGTTTTTTCAACGAGGCCTTTGTGTTCCGGACTAGACTAGACGCGAGACAGTCGGGATGGTTGCAGTGCGCGTATCACTCATCTGTGCAGCTTTCAAGCTGCCCTTAGGCCCCATAGTAGTTCCTTTTGGGGGTTCATATATAGAATCCTATAAGGTAACCCCAAAAAGGAACTACTATGGGGCCTATGGGTGCAGGTCGACCTGTTGAATTGCTTTTCTGGGGATTCTGCACGGATTGTGATGACAGTTACAGAAATGGGCGGCGTGTCATTGGAGCCCAGATCACTGCCAGGGGCAGTGCAACCGAAGCGCTCTTGGTATAGGTTTCATGGATCGGGCGCCTGGGGGCGCAGACAGGAAGCGACCCAGAGAAAAAAGGAAATCCCCCCAAACTGACCACCCCGTCTGGGCGTCGGGATCTGAGATGAGGTAACAGGTGCCTTCAAAGTTCACAGAAAGAAACCCAAAGAGCGATGAGGTCAGCAGATCTGCGTCGCCGCGGATTGGGAAAACCAGCGTGCGGTCCTTAGAGCAAGAAAGGAGGGGTTTGAAGGGCCGAAGGGTTTAGAGTTTAGGGTTTTGGTTTAGGGTTTAGGGTTTAGGGTTTAGGGTTTAGAGTTTTGGGTTAGGGGTTCAGGGTTTAGGGTTTTGGTTTAGGGGTTCAGGGTTTCCAGGCTTAGTTGGGCCTTAGCTTCTAGTTTTAGGCTCTCTGTTCAGGGATCAGGGTTTTGAGCTTAAGACGCTGCAGATCTCCAGCGGGACGGAGCAGTTTGCAAGCCTGGGTTTTTGGTAGCTCGACTAGAGCCCCTGCATGACTGACGATATGATGTGGCCGAAATCCGTGCTTTGTCATTCAGGCTGCTATTCTCAAGAACAGTTTTAAGTTTGGTTGTGGGTACCTTTGTCTGAGAGGGTCGTCGTACTTGTTCGAAGCCCGACAGGTTGATCCCGTTTTTGGTCTGGATGTGTACTGTCGGTTTGTATAAACTTGAAACCCTAAAAGCGACAACTTTCGAAGTTTACTAACTGTTACTAGCTCGACGCCTTATAGTGCAGAGAAGCTGAGCTCTTAGACGCTGATAGACAGTAAAATCTTGAGCGCGACAGCCTCGACCCTGAACTTGCGAACACCTTTCAATCCTAAATCCTAAACCCAAAAAGGTTGTGGGCTAGGCTTGAGCCCTGGGTCCTAAACCTCCATGTAAAGGCTGTGAAACAAAACCCACATGCCAGACCGTCCGGGGTTCACGTACTTCCGAGTTCTAGAGACAGCGAGCAGACAACGGCATGTTCAATATGTTTCGAGTCCCTGTCGTGCGGTAATTACTGCTCCTGTCGATCGGACTGTCCATCTATCGATCTTTCGACAGATCTATCGATAGATCTGTCGATCAATCTATGGATCGATCTATTTGCCTGTCTTTGATACTGTAGAGAGAGAGGAATACGCTCGAGGCTGGGGGTACTTCTGAGTTTCGTTCGTAGGGGGGTTGAAGCTAGTGCAGAGCCTTTACTCAGGTGCTGTCAGCGGCACAGCACAGGGGAAGCTCCTCCTGTGGGACCGATGGTCTGGAAACCATCACACACTTTGCGAGTCACAATCATTCTAGACCACTCTCACCCTATGCGCATATTCTGCACATGCATACATATGGTACATTTATACTATATACATCTTGTCATCTGTGCGCCGTCGGTCTGTCAGTCTCTCTTTCTCTCTTTCTGTCTCTGTCTCCCTCTCTTTGTTGTTGAAAATGATGCTGTATGTATGTGCATATTTTTGAACAGATGGCACGTAAAAGCTGAAAGAACCTGTGCAGGTGTATGTCAATAACGGACCTACAAACATCCAGATGCACGGACATACACACACACTCTCTCTCTCTCTCTATCCCCTCTCTCGCTTTCTTTCTCTGCGTCTGCTACGCATCTATCTGGCTTCGCTTCCGCCTGTCGCGCTCAGCACTGTGTATTCGAGGGAGTGCAGGCTCGGAGGGAGGGGATTGGTGCTTGCGGATCTGTGAGTCCTTTGCACCTACTCAAGTTCCGACGCCGTCAACCCTCGTCCTCAATGCAAGTCACAACCCCAAACACGAAACTGCACCAAGCACGTTGCATTCGTGAGCCTTTACTACCTCCCAGGCACGAATATGCCCTAAACCCTGTAAACCTACAAGCCCTGGAAGCCTTAGAACCCTATGAACCCTATCACTAAGGCCTAAGAAGCCCGAAAAGCCCCGTTTCCCAGAGAAGGATTCGAAGAAGCTGGCACTCATCAGTGCAGTGGATGCTCACCCGGGAGGCTTCCATGACCGTTTGGGGTATAGGGTTTAGGGTTTAGGGTATAGGGTTTAGGGTTTTGGGTTTTGGGTAATTTAGGGTTTAGGGTTTTGGGTTTAGGGGTGGGTTTGCAGAGCAGGCAGGACCCATTTGCGGTTAAGGGGTTACAGGGCCCAGAGTTTGGTTTTAGGTGTTACATGGTTCAGAACAGGCTCTCTGGTTCAGGCTCAGGGTTTAAGGATAATAGGGTCAGCTTAGAGATTGGGCTTAAGGTTTGTAGGCCGACCGGCCAAGCCCGGACACATGCACAAGCCACGGAGACACGGACGGACGGACGGACTGACAGACGGACAGACAGACTGACTGACCGTTAGACATGGACATAGTGATGGAGATGAAGTATACAACCAACACAAGAAAACACAGCCAAACAAGCAAATAAGCAGACGGACAGACAGAAAAACATAAATATACATCTACATGCACATAAACATATGCATACACATATGCATAACCATATACATACATACATACATACATACATACATACATACATACATACATACATACATACATACATACACACATACATGCATACATACATACATACTTACGTACGTACGTAGATGCGTACATACATACATACATACATACATACATACGTACGTACGTACGTACGTACATACATATATACACATACATGTACAGTTACATATGCATATACATATACATACATACCTACATACATGCTCACACACGCACATGCATATCATACAGAAGCAGACAGGCACCTACAGGCACAACACACGCATAAAAAATCGTACTTATGTACATGCATGCATGCATGCATGCATGCATGCATGCATGCGTACATACCTACACACTTACATATCTCCATGCCTACAGACCTACATACATCGCCGCGCCTAGCTACCTACCTACCTACCTAC